CAGCTGATTTTCATCTTTTACTCGAATTTGATTCACAGTTCCTGATTCAAATTATGAAATGCACCAAAAAGGATCCATATAAATTTATAAAATCATAAATTTATTACAAAGCCACATCTCAATCTCAAGAAATCCGCATAAAAATGCTTGATCCCTAGACACTTTTGATGTGTGTATATGCGGGTAAAGAAAAAGATGACGAGAGACTACCAAGTGAACCTGACATAGGAGTTGTTGGACAAACTGTCATGAGGTTGATCAGGGTGGTTCCAAGACAAAAAAATCATATCGTTTACTTCGATAATTATTATACGTCGTTGCCCCTAATGTATCATTTGGCCACTGAGGGAATCCATTCTTTAGGAACCATACAGCGAAATCGTTTGGGAAAAAGTTGTAAATTGCCTGATAAAAAAGACGTAATGAAAAGTTCTGTACCTCGAGGAACATATGAAGAATATGTCACCAATTTTGATGATGTGGACATTGCTGCAGTTTCGTGGAAAGACAATAACAAGTTACCCTGGCATCTACTTACGTAGGTGCAGAACCTGCGGGAACAATCAATAGATATGATAAAAAATTGAAGCGTAAACTCGAAAAAGCAGAAAACAGCTTTTTTCTTGATCAGGACCTCGAAGAGTATTTGTAAACCGTTATGTTTAATTTTTAATAAATGTATTTTGGAGGTTGTTTTCCCGGAGATCTGGCGACGAGCTATTATTATAGTACCTATTTATAAAAGCGGACCTAAACACGAGGTACAAAACTACAGACCTATTTCTATTTTATCCGCTTTGTCAAAACTTTTCGAGAGAATTTCGTTATGCACTAGGCATAACGAAATTTACCGTGATACATAATAGTATTTTAAAACAACAACATGGCTTTGTAAAAAGACGGTCTACCACCACTAACCTTATGGTTTATGTATCTTCACTCTTTGAGAATATGGATAGTAATTGTTAAACTGATGCTGTTTACACGGACTTCTGTAAGGCTTTCGACAAAATAGGTCATGAGCTCCTTCTAAAGAAACTTGCCTTTAATGGAATACGTGGCAATCTGCTTCGTTGGTTTTGTTCTTATATCACAAATAGAACTCAAAAGGTCAATGGATTTCAATATCATAGCATACAAGTGACGTCAGGGGTGCCGCAGGGTTCCATACTTGGTCCAATTTTATTCGTAATGTTTATTAACGACATTGGAGAATGCTTTCATAACTGTAATTTCCTATTATACGCAGACGATCTTAAATGTTTTAAATGTGTGCGCTCCTTATCCGATTGTGAACTAATGCAGCAAAATTTAAATAGGTTATCCATATATTGCAATCAGAATAAGTTACACCTTAACATAGCAAAATGTTGTTACATCAGCCATTTCTAACTCAAAATTATATAAAGTCTCATCTATACGGGATCTTGGCATTACACTCGATGAGAAATTGCATCTGGACCTTCACATCGAAGAAATCGTTAGGAAGGCATATAAAATGTATGGTATTATTATGAGGTCATCCAAAGCTTTTAAGAATTATTCGACCTACTTGCATCTTTATAAAGCCTTGGTTCGTCCCCGTTTGGAATACGCAGTACCTATATGGAACCTATTATATAATAAGTATGTTAAAACAATAGAAACAGTCCAATCGAAATTTCTGAAATCAATGCACTTTAGGTGTTTTGGTACATACCTGTCGTATGAGCAGCTTTTGTGTAGGTATGATCTTCTATCTCTTAAATCAAGACGAATAATGCTATTGCACGGAATTATTAACAATAAATTTGACTGCAATGAGTTAACCAACAAAATTTGTTATGTCGTGCCGAGAACAGTACATAGGCGAGAGGTACGGATCCGCAAACTTTTCGCAATCGGTAAATGTCGTTCAAATGCGGGTATCCGTGCGCCTTTGCGTCGGATCTCTGATACCTACAATGAGCCCTTTGTTAATGAAGATACATTTTTCCTCTCAGATTCCTGATGATGATGATGATGAATGTGTAGTTGTTAACTATTCCCAATAAATGAAAAAAGAAAAAAAAAACTCCAATTTTTGCTCGGAAAACGGAATACAAATTATAGCCCTATACCCGAACTCGACACAAATACAATGGATATTGCGGTATTCAGGCCACTTAAAGTTTTTTACAGAAAAATGGTGGTACAATGGAAGATAGAAAACAATGGAAATAAATTAAAAAAAAGAAGATTCGCGCCAGTGCTTAATAAGGCTTTGGAGAAAATAACGGAAGACTGCATAAAAAATGTATTTGGAGGTGGTGGGCTCTATCCATTCGAACCAGATTCTATTGATTTTTCCAAGTTAAGAAGATCAGAACAAACCAAACGAAAACATTGACCGGGATCAAAATCATTTTTTAAATTATCTAGAAAGCCAGATAATAAAAACTTTTGGCCAAGATAAACTTGCCATGTATAATAATAGGCTTTATTTCGAGGGCAGAAATGATCTTGAGAATATGACACTGGATGAAGATATGAATCTTTATATTTTATGGGCACATAATAAACAAAAGGCAATAATACCCAATACCTTTCCACTCCAACCCACGACGCCCGCATCTGTAGTAGCTTCTAAGCTGTTTACTCGCCAAAGCACGCCAGATACAATAGCTTCCAACAATGTAGGTCCATCCACCTCTCGAATAGAAGCCATGACATCCACAGTAGCTTCTGACCAATTTCCTCGCCACAGCACGCCAGATATCGTATCTTCCAACGATGTAGGCCTGTTCGACTCTCAACTTGAACCCATGGCATCCACAACAGCTTCTGAGGCATTCACTTACCAAAACATGCCCGACAAAGTAGTTTCTAATGATGCAGACCCATCTACCTCTCGAATCCAATCCACAGCATCACCAACATCTAAGCTTTTAGTCTATCAAAGCACTTCAGATTTAAATAATTCAGATCCCTCTCACTATATATACCCTTGAAAATAAAATAACAGGTTCAGACGTGCAGGACGTTTCATCTCTGTTTACTGTTAGTACGGTGCATACTGATATAAACCCGAATAGAAACGAGTGCACTCCTCAAAAAAGTACACTAAGCAATGCCTTAAACTTAAATATCCCTTCACCATTTAAAAAGTGTTTGTTTTGACCGGAAGACGTCAGCAAAAAGAAAAACCGTAGAAAAAAAAATATCAGCAAAAAGAAAAACCGTAGAAAGAAAGATAAAGTGCCTTTTGCTGTTACAAGCCACAACTACAAGGCTAAAATATCACCTGGATAAAGAGGAAGAAAAAAGGAAAGTTTTAAAAGAAAAAGAATCATGAGCTAAGCAGAGACTTGAAAAGAAATTGCTAAAACAAGAGCTAGAAAAAACAAAGAAAAAACAAAGAAAAAACAAAGAAAAAACGGTAAAATTAAAAAGAAAAAGGTGCAAGAGACTCTAGATAGTTCGTGTTTTGTTACGGACGTGGAACTTAATTATAATGAAAGTGATGAAAGCGATTATAATGTCTTGGATGATGCAGATATAATTGAAGAGGAATACATGTCTGAAAATAGAAATGAACTAATGAAAAAATCTAAAAATAAAAGAACAAGAACAGAAGGCAGTGATTCTGAAACCGAATTATCTCTGACCAAAATTAAGGGCAAAATTAAAAATTAAAGGCTGAAGATAGAAAGAAAGATCTGAAAAAGGGATGTTTTGTCATCATTACGTATGAAGGTGAATATTTTCCTGGCAAGATTGAAAATATAGACAGAGGACGATAGGACATTAGTACCATGACATTTTCTACTGGGAACAGTTTTAGATGGCCAGAGAGAACGGATAAAATTTAGTATACAACTAGTGATATCGTTGAAATAATTAACCCTCCTGTTCAACAAAATAATAGAGGGTTTTACAAAGTAAAAGAAATGGATAAATATTTGCCTCACATTTATATATAACCTATATTTTAATTTACCCACTAATTTTTATATTTTTACATTGCTGTCGTTGTTTTTATATGGCATTTATTGAAATAGACTGAGTCATGAGTCATAGATAGAATGTTATTGTTTTGTGCCATATTAAGGATTATAATACCTTAAATAATATAAACTTAGGAAGAATATTATATGAGTCATATAAATGCAAAGGCAGCAACATCCCATTTTTTCATTTTGGCAACTTTTATGGTAGTATTCCGTCAACTTTACTTGACCGAATATTAAAATCGTTTCAAAACCATCATCATCCTATACAAAATAGAGGTTCTAAATCGAGATTAGTAGCAAAACCAGCTACATACCCACGTAGTTGCGGCATAGACAGCAACATCCTTCTTTGACCAATCAGGTGCCACTATTCGAACCAACGGTGCAATGGTGGTTCTGTGTATTTTGCTCTCGTAAATCAGTGAAATTAAAGCGTAAATAGTGTTATTATTGACAAAAACGTTATAAAACTTGAAAATGGAATGTTTTCCTAGCCCCTGTGATAATAAAAACAGTCGAAAGAGAAAGGCAGAACCCGAAAAATGGAAGAGGTACCAGGCGAAGCTAAAGCGGTAAGTTGTAGTACAGTTAGATAATCTTGATCATTTCAACTATTTTTTCTAGCTAAATAATCTCGTTTTATTTATTTTATCTAAATAATACTGTTAATTTACTAAACCGATGGTTGGAGTTACAGTACGTTCAGACAATTTTGATCATTTAGGTTTTTTATAAATTAGGTCATGGTCGTGTTCACTATCGTGTTTTCGTTGCACATCACACCATGGACAAGTTTATAGGTATGTTTTTTTGTGATATTTAGGCAGTTACTTACTTTCATATTTGTTTTAGGTATTCTGCTGTAACTCTCCCAAAGAGATTGCTGTGTCGTCACAAAAAGACTTTTAATTGCATGTCTATAGCAATGACCGACGTTAAGCAATTTTATTTTTTGACAATTTTTATGCAGAACCTAATAAATTGAAGCAGGATGCTTTTATATTAAAGCATTGCCAACCAAAAAAAGTAATGCGTCATCGCCGTTCTGCTAATTCAAAATATTCGACGCAAAAATTTCAAACCAAATATTACATTTACTGTAAATCTGCAAAGAAGAAAGTACAAGTATGCCAAAAATTCTTTTTGACAGTTTTACAAATCACAAAATATAGAGTGCAAAGTATTATGAAGACATACTTTGAGACCGGACAAATTTTAACAAAAAAAAGAGGAGGTGACCATATTTCTAATAAATATCTGCACAAACGCGAAGCTATTAAAAGATTTATCAATAAAATTCCATGCCAAGAACCTCATTACTGTAGAGGGAATACCAAAAGGTATTATTTGTCATCGGAATTGTCCATTAATAAATTATGGAAGCAATACAATATAGAAGCTAGTCATGACTTAAAAGTAAAAAAATCCTACTTTCGACACATATTCAATAGTAACTACAATCTCGGCTTCGGTACTCCAAGAACAGACGTTTGTGCCACTTGTTTGAGATTTGCATCAGAAATCGGTCACCAAAATGATTCTCAAGCACAAAACGATCTAATGATCTCTCAAAGATTACACAAATTGAGAGCTAAAGCATATTTTGAAAAAGTTAGGGAAGAAAACCCTAACCTAAAGACGTTTTCATTTGATTGTGAAAAAAAATTAAATTTGCTTAAACTTCCTGACCAAGTCGCATGCTACCTGAGAAATATTTATTTGTTTAACTTCACAATAGTGGAGGGCTCTTCAAAAAGCAAGTTAACTCCTACAAACGTGTTTGCCTACTGTTGGACAGAAAATGTTTTCCCCAAGGCTGCTAACGAAATTGCGTCAGCCTTGTATCACCGACTGAAAAACACAGACTTCTCTTCTTGTCAAATAGTTCGACTTGTCGCTGATGGCTGTGCAGGCCAGAACAAAAACACTATTATGCTGGCTATGTTAGCTAAATGGATGACAGAAGTTCCTCAAAATGTTAAACAAATTGAACTAGTGTTTCCCGTAGTTGGACATTCTTACATACCACCCGACAGGGTATTCACTAAGATCGAAAAGGAAGTCCGGCTCCACGAAGAAATAAATAGCCCCCAAAAATACTTGGACATTATTTCAAACTTTAGTACTGTCACTACCTTCGGAGCTACTGATTGCGAAGTCCTTGACTGGAAAACAGCTTCACAGGAAGTTTTTAAACCTGTGAGCAACTGGCATTTCAAATTTAAACAGTGTAAACGTTTCATTTTAAAACGTTCGAAGAGACCCGGAAATATTTTGATTCAAGGACATTTACATTATAAATCCGATGATGGAGTTAGCAAAAATGTTTGTAAACCAGGGAAAAAAAGCGCTATGATAAATCCAGAAAAAATACATCCTTCGAACAAATTAACTGCTGCTAAAAAAAAAGATACACTAACCTGGCTAAGAAGCCATTGGGGTAACTATTGGCACTTAAACGAAATTTTGCAATTTTTCAAAGAGTTACTACAAGAATATAATGATGACCAAACTGAGGATAGTAACCAACAGGGTGAAGACGGTGACAATAACGAAGAATTGTGTGAGCCAAATGAAGAAATTGATGACATGCATGTGTGAATAATAAGAAATAAGTAAACTTAAATTTATATAAGAATAATATTAATAATTGATGATTACAACAATAAATAGTGTAAGATAAAAAAAGTTTAAATTTATTTATTACCATAATATGAAAATACAACCTAAGTATTAAAATTCATAATCATAGAGTTCCATCTTTCTATTTCTAATAATGTCGCTTAATAATTTTTCCTTGTAAAAAGGAATATTTGTAGGTTTTTGATAAAAATAAGTAAACTAAGTATCAAGATTATTACAGTAAAACATCAACAAAAACCGTCATTACAAATGCAGCAATATCCATGATTGACTGGTGCAAAACCAGCAACATTGGATGCTAAAACAGCAACATCCTAAATGTATTACTTTATTTTGGTAAATGTTGTGTTTCTTAGGGAATTCTGTTTTACAATATCTGATTCTATCATCATTAGTTATCTATTCTTGTAACATAATTTAACTAAAAATTGATACATGCAACGTAAACAAAAAAAGACGTCTACTGCCTTTTCAGTAAAAGTGAATATTGCTGCTTTTGCTTCTAAGTGACTCATATAACTAAAAAAACTTTGACTGCTGATTGTTAATATTTGGTTACTCTGTTTTCTGATGTTTAATTTGAATAACCTAAAAAGACTGACGTTAAGATTTAAAGCTGATGAACCGAATTGGATATAGGTACCTAAGTAGGTATAAGAAAATACTTTAAATAAACAATATTTTATTATCGTCTATGCTTGTGTAACCTAAGTAAAAATACACTTATATTTGTTTTCTTGTGATACTTAATTAAAGTATGACCTTTACTGGATGTCCATTACTGGACGATTGTCCATTATAGGGATATTGTAGTTATTTAGGTTGATCGTTTTTAATTTTATTTGTTTCAAAACCCATCACACTATTTCTCCTTTTTAAGAGTTAGTAATAAACGCTTGTTATCTAAATATATCATTTTAAACTCGCAGTACTTAGACTCAATAAATAAAGAAGTTATAGTACCACATGTTTGACTCGGCGCTTAAACTGTCCATAATTGGTGCCACCACGGTATTACATTTTTTTTACAGATCCTGCTTGATGGCTCGAGAGCTGTATGTCATGTATCTTGATGTAGAATTAGTGCCATAATAAATACAGCAGCACCTCCACCAGTTGCAGCAGCTCGTAACTCCATAATGGTTCCTGGTCTAACTAGAGCTAGAAAGAAATTAGAAAGTAGAATTTGCTAGAAATATAGTCCATCAGGAAAGTGATATCAATGCAGTGAGCGTACTGGATACTATAAACATTTACACAAGCGCTGTAGAGAGAAGATCAAGCCTTAATATTGAGGAAATGACAAATGGCGATTTTATATTTTGGTTTGGTATTAGCCGCGAACATTTTAATATACTTTTATATCAAGTACCAACGCTCCATAATCGTACTAAATTACCTAAAGTTGACTTGGCTGTGTTTTTTGTGCAAACTCAGAATTGGAGAATCGAACAACAGGATTGGATCTTTATTTAATTGTTCCAAATATACCATACCACGAAATATACGTTTATCGAGGTCTTGCCTTACTAATGACTTTGTTCCTCTTCATATGGGTTTGAACCATATAACCCGAGATGACACAATAGAGCGGAACAGAATATTGCCCAATTATATTTTTGGCAATGAAGATAATCCTAGATCAATTATCATTCACGATGGAACTTACCTCTTCACTGAAAAAAGTACGAATTTCCTATTTCAGCGCGTAAGCTATAGTCTTCACAAATACCGTAATCTAATCAAACCTTTTAGGATTGTTTGTGATGACGGAATCATATTAGATATAACGAGACCGTATCCTACAACTACCAATGATGCTGATATACTGAAAATGATTTTAAATAATCATGGTGATCCTATAGAGGATTGTGCATGGTATTATTTTTTTCATCAAAATGATGTCATGGTCCTAGACAGAGGCTTGGGCGACACAAAATATGGCTATGAAGTTCATATAGACGAGGTCAAAGACAACTCAGCACTGAGAAATCCAACAAGTCAAGACTCGTTTCAATAATGTAGATGGGTTGTTGAAGCGATCAACGGTCGCATGAATCGTGACTTTAAATTGTTTCGCCACAGGGTATTTAACCGTGACTTACCTCACATATATGATGATTTCAAAATAGCAGGCGCAATAATAAATTGTTTTCAAGAGCCTTTCGAGGAAAGTGCCTATACTGAAGAGTTTTGTCAAATAATAAGACTAAATACGCATAAACCAAACCTGTTAGTAGATTATGTCAAAGAACATAATCTAAACCAGCAAAGAGTTCCCATTGTGAGGTTGGAAGCAACTAGTGAAGAAGTTAATGGTTTTCAGAGATTGACACATGAGGATTTAATTATGATATCAGTTGGTTCCTATCATCCGAAAATAGCACGGTCATACTGCTCTGAACATATTAATAGAACGGGTGTGTTTGAAATTGAATTTTTCAGATATTCAGAAGAAATAAATATTAACAATGAAGAAATTATGCCCTCATTAGATGTACGATTCAGTCACGACATGTCCCGAGTAAAATTATACCGGACGAATATATTATATATTGTTAGTTTAAGGGAGATATGCGATAAAAGAATATTTTTGTACATATATGACTATTTTGTATTATCTTAATGACTATTTTGTATTATCTTGGTTGGGCGAGGTATGAATTTTACTTAATTTTACTTTAAATTTTTTTAGATAATATTTTGCTACATGTAGAACAGGAATAAATAAGTTTCATTTATTTTATTTTTTTCTCTACACCTTCCTTGTAACAATAAAGCAAATGAATTTAGAATGTTACAGATGTTCATTTGTTTAATATTAATGTCATCTTTATTCCACTTTTTTATGATCGTTAGAGTAGTAGGTACTGCATGATTGAAAGTAAAATATTTTTAAGATAAGTAATACTGTGCCCGAAATAATATTTGGAGCAATTTTCAAGGATGATGGCCAGTAAGGATGACAATCGGAGGTATGCAATTTATTAATACACATTTTTATCTATTTTTTGAGATATTTTTCTCAGCTGTCGGACGTGGGCTAATTTTCTATGGAAGTTGCAACTTCTTCTTTTTCGATGTTACCACACCTGAAGCAGAAAATGCTGCTATAGCTTCTCTATCATATCCTCGGTTCAAAATAAGGGGCTGACTTGCTTGGAGCCCTCAGACTGAACAAAGATTCTCAAAATTTTGAAGACTTGTATTTCTAAAAAAATAAACGAAAACGAAACTGCAACTGAAAGGCTACAAGAAAGGCCAACCAAGAAAATATATTTTTCAATTTTGTTGCCGACTCTTCAGACTCCGACACATCTATGACGGAAACTAACGCTTCTGCTGCGCCTTTGACTAAAGCCGAAATGTTAATTTTGCTTTTTTTAAGAAGTAAGCAAAGATCTTCAGCCCCCAGATCGATATCCAGAGATAAAAGCTGTTTTTATCGGATTTAATACACCACTGCCATCGTCAGCATCAGTAGAGCGTCTTTTTTCTTTCTAATTTGCCAAAATGTCACAAATTGTCAGATGTTTGAAAAAAGAGTGTTTTAAAATGCAATTTGAATTACTATAAGAAATAATACTTGTGATTTAATTATTTTGTTGTCTACCAAAACTATGTATTGTTTGACTAAATTGAAATAAAAAATATTATCTGATTACTTATAGCTGACATTTTTTGTATTTACGAGAAACATAAACATCATCATCTCAGACGTTCACTGCTGTACATAAGCCTCTCCTAAAGAACGATTTAGCGCGGCCTGGAACCAACGGCTTCCTGCTGACTTTGCGAGATCATCAATCAACCAGAGCCTCCCTCCATCTTAAATTATTTTTATTTACGTCATTTAAATTTGATTAAAGTTTAATTACATTGTCAATTACAATTAACGATTGATTAATTGTTAATTGAAAATCTAACAGTTTACAATTAATTAATTGTTAATTGAAACTTCACAGTTAACAATTAATCAATTGTTAATTGAAATTTCACACTATTAACAATTAATCAATTGTTAATTGAAATTTCACACTATTAACAATTATTCAATTGTTATTTTTAATTGTACCTTGCAATTAAATTTTGCCCAACACTGCTGGCTAGCCATATGTCTGTAAAGGTAATACAGATATGTGAAGAAATAGATATTCGTTTCATATTTCTCTCTGAAAATAGTTCACACCTCACTCAACCACAGGACGTCGCTTATTTCCGTCCACTAAAATTTATATGGCGGAAAGGATTGGAATGGAAGGAAAAAAACTAGGGGCTGCATTCCCAAAGATCAGTTTAAGCGACTTTGAAAACGATCATTGGGTCAATTATTATTGACGTCTTCAGAGAATTTGAAGTCTGGTTTTCGTGCAGCTGGAATTTGCCCTTTTAAATGAAAAAACTGTTATGGACAAGCTTCCTCTTGAAACTCCGGCAAATAATAGTACCTCTAAAGAATGGGCGAGTGCATTTGAAAGTTTTTTTAAAGAAAGTCATCTTATTACATTAGCTCCACTTAAACTAAGTAGAAGAAATTGTAACCATCGGCAGATCAAAGCCTTACCGTCTCTGATATTACAAATCCCTCAAATACTCAAAATATTGAAGAAGTTGAAGTAGAAATTTATGATGCTGACGAAAATATTTGGAAACAAACATTGATTCAGATCCTTTAATTACGCAACCGAGAACAGCATGTGAAGAAGATACAGATACCACAGTTTCTGATAATTATTCGGCACATCTGACAGTGATATATCGGAATTTCAAGATTTCGATAACTTAATAGAACAAACCACAAAACAATGAAATGTTATTATTATCAAAAAATCTAAACTATGAAGGAAACTTGAAAAATTTAGATTACAAAGATCAAGACAAAAAAAAACCATCAAGTGAAGAGGACGCGCATATTGAGGCGACGGCACCCGCCGTACCTCAAACAAACGACCAAAAAG